GACAACCAACCAGCAACTTAATGATATATACTGGAACTGGAGAGGTAGATTTCTTACCTGGGACTGGATATCGGAGATTTTACTCCAAGAAAAGTCAAACTCGCTCAATGGGACCTGGACAACATAGGACACGTGTGAATAGAGGCAACTCCCATTTAAAGACGTGACACATTAGTATCAGTAAAGGCTGCAAAAACTGACTGTAAAAGTGCACATTTTGGAATTATGTGACGCTATAAAGAGGAATTAGCAACCAGCTGTGTGTTTAAATGAAGACAGGCTTTTTTAGATAGTTACCTTTGCCTGTTTCAGGAAGCGGAGGAAGCCGAGCTCTTCCGGTCGGAGGATCAGGAGCGCGTGCCCTCTGCCATTGATGCCTCTGGCTGTCCTGCCCACCCTGTGGATGTACTCCTGTGGAACGAGAGTAGAGTTTAAAAGTCTTAATCTGGGACTCAAAAAGTGCCCTTCAAGTCAGACCAGTATTTAAGGAACGTCGTTGGTTAAAACCGGGTTTCTCTTGTTTTTATTTCTTTGCAATTCTGAATTAGTATCTTGTTGTATTGTGACGTAGTTCTGATACCTTTGGGTCATCTGGGGGGTCGTACTGGACGATCCAGTCCACCTCAGGGATGTCGAGCCCTCGAGCTGCCACGTCAGTACACAGCAGGATGCCGGAGTCAGCGTTGCAGAACTGGAAGAAGGTGGTGGTACGTTTGGTCTGCTTCTGCTTGCCCTGTGAGACAGACGGAGAAACAGTTGCAGCTGAGGCTTCTGAATACCACATGACTTCAGGATAGGGCTGAAACAATTATTTTAATTATCGTTTGGGTCCATAGAAAGTCCGAAAATGTTTATCACTGTTTCTCAAAGTCCAAGGTGAGATTAATGTCATACTAAAACCAGAAAATATTCACATTTGAGAAGCTGAAATCAGAGAATTTGGACATTTTTTCTTTAAAAATGACTCAAAATTATTAATTTAATAGTTGAAAGGGAATTAATTAATGAACCAATCATTGCAACTCTACTTTATGATGCTCAAAGGTAAGTGATTAGTCTTACGTGGATGGCCATGACAGGCAGGTCGATGTAGTTGAGTAGTTCATAGTGGAATTTCACAGACATACAGGAAGAGAAGAAGACCATCAGCTTCTTCTTGCGGTTCTTCTTCAGGAACGTGAAGAGCAGCAGGAAGCGCTTCTCTGACGGGCAGACTACATAACCCTGAAACACACCAAACACCCCTTTATATATCAGTTTATTTATAGTATATACGGTAACAGACTGAAGAGAGATGTAGCGGACTGCACCTGCTCCAGGCCATCTACAGTGGCGTTGTCTTTGTTGTCATCCACGCCGACATAGAGGGGCTCTCTCTTCAGGGAGATACGGGCCAAGTCCTCCACCTTACGGGTCTGAGTGGCGGAAAACAGCATGGTCTGTCTCTTCTCTGGAGGAAGCAGAGGCACAAACATTAAACAGTGATGTAGAGAGTAAACTGCACACAGCCTGTGGAAACGGCTGTATTGGGCTTTTTGTGGCTCTAGTCTGAGAATCATAACTCGGCTTTGCTTTGGTTTGGTTCGGAGATTTTAAACAGAAACGACCGGACACAAAAACATGGGTCTGATAAAAGATGCCAGGTTGCATATTGGGAAGGATCCAGTGTTTTTGGAGCACATTACAGACTGAAATATGAGCCTTTGCTACAAAAACAATCCAATGACAGAGGAAGGAGAGTTCAGCAGCAGTAGATACGTACTCGGCAGCAGTTTGATGATCTGCTTCAGTTCCTCCTCGAAGCCCACCTCCAAGATACGATCGGCCTCGTCAATAATCAGACACTGTAGGTTCTTGTACATGAATCCAGTGGTATTCTGAAGACACAAGAGTCTTTTTTAATATTCTTATACAAGCCGGAGCAATTCAATTGACAGAAATAGTACATACAATAGTTCGAGAAACGTTTGTAGTGAGATTTGTGTGCGGTATATCCCGTCAGAACTCACCTGGAGGTGGTCCAGCAGACGGCCAGGAGTGGCCACCAGGATGTTGACACCGTTGGCCAGTCTTTGGGCCTCAGCTGAGCGGTTGCTGCCGCCCATAATCAGACCAAAGGTGTGCACGTGGTGCGCCATCAGCTCCTTCAGCACACCGTACGTCTGCATTGCCAACTCGCGCGTGGGAGAGAGGATCACGACACCGGTTCCTGCGGAGAAAGAGAAGAGGAGGTTAGTTAAGGACTCAACTTACATCATTCAGTTTGAGACACCAAGCTTTACGCTATTATTATATTCAATTAACAGGAGTATTACCGTTCCTGGGCATGAACTTGAGTTTGTAGATGAGCTCTATAGACGGGATGAGGAAGGCCAAGGTCTTACCGCTACCTGTCTTGGCAGCAGCCAGAACATCCCTGCAGAACAAAAGCAAACACAAACACTGTAAGTATCCACAAGGTCATGAAATGGCTGTCAAAAGACCTGAAACCCAGTTTGACATCAGCTACAACCAACAGGGGAGGATCTGAGACTCACCTCCCCTCCAGCAGGGGGCGAATACTTTTGTGCTGGATCTCAGTCATGTGTTCGAAGCCCATCTCCTTCACTGCTTTCAGCGTGTGCTCGCTCACCAGCTCAGTGAGAGAGGCAAAGGATGTGTCCTCGAATGCTCCTGAAAGTCAACAGTCAGTGATGAGTGCAATGCTCTCCCTAAAGCAGATCCCATTTAACCAAAAGGCCAAAAGGCGGAAGTGTGAGAAAACAGAAAACAGGTTTTTTTTTTTCTGGCGAGATAATCGGCCGTGGGAATCGAGTGTCCTTGCAGTCGCTCCTGTCAGGAGAATCACCGGTGACTCCTCCCAAAGACAACCACAAGAGTCTCTGTATGCCTTAGTTGACACCCGTTTCATGATGGAAACACTGAGCGGGCAACACATAAAGGCAACGCAGCTGAAATGTGGTCAACATTGGTGAACTGGTCTGTAAATAGACCGAATAGGATTTTAATGTTAGATAAAGAGGAACAAAACTATATTTCTGGTCACTGAGTGAACCCACAACGTGCGACAGAAACTAGGTTATGATCTGCTTTCTTAAAATAAGAAACACGGTTAAATAAAAAAGGTTTCCTGTTCACCCACCAGGTTAATAATGTAGTTTATATACACATGTGTATGAGTGAGAGATGGACAGGAGAATCTACCACTGTAACAACAGTGTCGATATTTAAAAAGGAAAGATCAGTACTTGTAGCTTTCTGTCTATGCGTCTAAAATAATTCAATAAACAGTGAACAATGTAGCACTGATGGTTTCTTTTATCTGACATTCAAACACCTTTATGTTCCTTAACATCTCCATTCGAGCAGGACAGGACCATTACAGACAGCTGCAGTGAGACATTCAGAGCCAGAGGCAACACTACACAGCTGAGCTGTAAAAATAATAATAATAATAATAATGAAGTGGTGGATGGATTTTTAACTTATTTTGTGACTGAATTACTGTCAACCTCTATAGTTTCGTTATTGATGAATATAATGAGCATGAGGGAAAAGTTAAACCAGGTCTGTGTCCACTAGAACATAAAATATAGAGTTCTGCTTCCTGTTTAAACAGTTTAACTCTCTTAAACTCTCAAAACTTATTTTCTCCTCATTTGCAACCGTGTTTTAATGGATTTTTATACCAGAAATTGCCATAAATATAAAGTTTAGACAGACACTGATGGTCTGATGATTGATTGAAGAAAGTAATCTATGTAGACACATTTGACACACACTTCTCTTCTCCTCCACAGTGCTTTGAATGAGATATCATTATTAAGTGAACTGGATAAAGTCCTCTAAAGGAACATGTATTTACAGTCTCTAGTTATGTAACTTGCACTGCTGTAGTCTTTCTGTTTAGGTGACATTTAATTCAGACCGGAGCAGCGTTGGACGCGTTACTACGACTGACATTATTATTATTATTATTATTATTATTATGTTTTAAATGAACCTGCAGTGTCTCAGTTTTTATTGAAAATGACTCAGACATGAAAACTAACGTGTGAAACTGCCATCGCCTGTACATACATACGTCTGAAAGTGACTCCTAAATAAAAACTGAATGTGTATTTTATCTAACAAACGTCTGAAACCAGGTTTCTTCCTCACTACAGACGCTCCTCTTCATCTTCTGGACGTAACCCTTTCTGTAGTACCTGTTAAACCAGAAGGGAGCTCAGGTTGATCCTCCTCTTCCTCCTCATCTGACGCTCCCTCTGGTTCGTCAGGAGACTTTTCTCCATCTTCATCCGCTCCTTCCTCCTCCTCCTCCTCCTCCTCCTCCTCTTCATCTTCTTTCACTGTTCTGGTCTTCTTTTCAGCTGGAATGAAGACACTGTAAGTTAAATACACCAACCACCCAACATGTCCTAACTTTAGGTTAACAGAAACTCGTCCAGCTGTTACCTGGTGATCCAGATGTGTCAGGGAGCTTTCTTTTCTTCTTTGACTTCTTCTTCAGAGGAGTTTCTTCTGCTGTGGTCTCCTCTTTCTGTTCTTTCTCGGGCTTGTTGTCAGTCTTACAGGCAGCTGCTGGATCCTCACACTCCTCCAGCAGCCCGTTTCTTTTACCTGATTAACAAAACCACAAACAAACTGTAAACATCTAGTTATTCTTCATATGATTAAAACAAAAACACTCAGTTGTGTTTACACTTTTCTGCTGCTTTCTCTTAAAGGACAGCTGTCTTTGGGAACCTGCATGTGTTACATAATGTTATGAATTAAGATAAAACACATATAAATCCCCCAAATTTAACATTTTTCAGCTCCTGATCACTAAATCGTGGCGTGAGGAGCTAACGAGGCTAGTTCGTCCCCTCGCGTCCGGAAAACAAACAACAACAACCGGACACTTTGACATTTATCTCGTTCACTAACACATACCGGCCTCCTCTTCCTCCTCGGCTCGTCTCTGCAGCACTTTTCGCTCTTTGTTCTTCTCATTTCGTTTCTGGATTTTCTTCCGCAGAAGCTTCATCTGCAGGTCGGCCATGGCACCACGTGTGTGTGAGTCAGGACCCCCTTCAGAGGCGCCACACAAAGTGCCTGAGTGGAAACCGCTGGGGGGGCCTCGCATAAACGCACAGGCAAAGAATAATCTCCTGTAAGGCTTTTATATCTATGTTATCCATTTAGGAGATACATTAATTAATAAGAAGCGATGGCATGAGGTTATAAACAAACACGACGCAATATAAATGGCGTGGTATCAGCTGTATGGATGATGGGGGAATACAATACAGGCATTGTTATTAAAATACTTTTGTCTTTTTATTGCTGCAAGATTCATTTTAAAGGTTTTTGAAGGTAAAATAAGCAGTGAATCCACAGAGGAGTGCGACAGAAGCTCTGCCTGAGTGAATATATTCACAGCACCATCTGCTGACCAGTGGTTGCAACTGTCTTCCTCCTAAATACAGACATCATGCAAAAGAAGAAACTATTCACACAAAGAACAGAAAGGCCAACAAGAGGGGACGACTTTAATGGTAGCAGAACATCAGGACATCCATTAAACGTCACCTCGGAACAGCTCGTGACTTTAGTTATTTGTAAAGCTGTGAGTGAAAGACATCCAAAGGTTGTTACTTCAACACTTACAGACCCTATGAACTGTTTTCTGAAGGTATTTGTTCATTAGAAACCAGATATCTTCTGTTTGAAAAGGCAGCAACGTCTCTTCTCTTTGATTCGAGGTGTTAGAAGCTCTCGTACTTCAGATTCCTCTCTATCTCTGGTCACAGGCCCGTATCTTGAAATCCTCCTCAAAGTGCGACTCAGTGCTAAAACGTTAGAGAACATTGTTGATATTTACTGTTGAATAACTAATTTAAGTCTAAAAAAACCCGACCGAATCAGGAAACAACAGCGGCCACAACTCTAAATCTAAACTGTCAGGCCTGCGGAAGTGTCTCCTCCTCAATCTTGACCATGTGTGTTTCTCTTTTGATCTCAGCAGCCTGAATAAAAGCCTGAGAGCTGTTTTCACTCATCCCCTCCAGCGCTCGGCTCTGCTGGACGCTCTGACTCCTGCACGTTCTCCTCCCGTGCTTCACCTCCTCCCATCTCTGCATCCTCCCTCCGACCTCACCCCCTTTCTTCCTCCTCAGCAACCTCTGCCTCCAGGAGCAGCTCCTCCACGGCGCGCTCTCCCCCATCCCGGGCGCCCGAACGCGCCGCCTCTGCAGGTCCTCCTCCACCGCTTTGAACACCAGGTCTGTGATGTCTCGGCGCAGTCTCATGAGCACCACGGGGTCTTCAATCTGACGCATATCCGCCAACATCACCTCTGCAAACTGGCTCAGTATGTCGTGTTTGGATGCGTTTGCCGGCCGGTCCGGGTCTGTGACTTGGGGCTGTGGGTTTGGGCAGGGCAGGGGAGCGGGGGTCTGGATGGGGGAGGCAAACTGGGGTTCTTCGTCCAGATGTTGTGCAGTCACATCGGCTTCCAGCGGGCTACCGAACGAGCTCCCCATCTCCTGGTCAACGCTCCCTTCGGTCTCCAGCTCCTCGTCGTCCTCTTCGCGATCATCGAGCTTTTCCTCCTGCGAGAAGTTAAACGTGAAGATCAAGCAGGGAAGCATGTGGAGGAGTTTCTGTGTTGGTTTGAAGCTTACCAGGTAGGATTCGCCTCGCCTGCGGACGATGTAAGGCTTCAGGAAATCCAGTTTCTCCCTGAGCATCTTTTGCTGGACAGTGCTGACCCTCTCCGGATGCCACAGCACCCTCCCGTACTGAGTCCGCAGGGATCTGGATCTTCTCTCAACATCAGACACTGCCAGGAAAAAGGAAAATATGCTATCTGATTGTGACTGAGCAGTTGTGATTAAGTAGTAAAGAAGTGATGATGAACTATAAAGACTATATCTCATATGTTGCGTATTGTAAATAAAGCCTAATTTAACATCCTGTCAGCCAATTCCTAATAAATAAACTTAAATAAAGTGAGTTCAGCTGCGTTCACTTCTCACTGTGCATTATTTTAAAACAGTTTTATTAATTAATTTTATTTA